GACCTTCTTCTTTCGGAACTTCTCCAGAATATCCAGGCGAGACTTGCTGACGAAAAACTTCAGGCCAGGGATCTGCTTGGCGGCCGCTTCAATCTACGCCTTGTCGTCCATTACGCGGTAATGGACGGTCCAACCACTCGCGATACAGCTTCCTGGCGCGGGATTTGGCCACTGTATTCTGTTTATTGACTCGTTTAGGAGCCTTACTTACCTTGAAGACATGAAGTACGGCCCACTTCATTGTCTGCTGGACGAACCAGTTGGAAGAATTGACCTTCTTGGCCACGTCTTGAATACAAGGGATTGGATTGCGGTTGAAGTAATCCCTCACCTTCCTTGCGTTCACGGGGTCAGTCGTCTTCGCTTTTCTTCCGCTGCCAGTTCGTCGCTGAGTCGTTTGGGTCTCTTTGAACGATTTCACCACACAAAACACGGTCGAATTATCGATTCCAAACTGTTTCACGATCCATCTGTAGGACTGGCCTGGATTTTCCACGACCGCTCCATGGCTTGTCGAAGCACTTCTTGCTTGGAAGCCATCTCGATAACAACTTGACAGATTGTGACGAAATTTTGCACAAGTAAGCATTACACTAGTTTTACTCAACATTTCATAATTTTTTTTACCGATGCAATCAGTGTTGGCAAAATCAGAAATCAATTGATATTTTTCCGCTCTGTAAAAAATATCATGCTTGATATTGATTTTACAAGCTCCTTTGATATTGCGAGACTATTCACAACGTGCAAAAATCAAGCTGAGAGCTGACTCGACACAAACATGATTCCGTTGCCCATCGTTTTCTTAGAAAGAGAGAGAGAGAGCATAGTTTGCTATCTCTTTTTAATCTTCACCGATGGCAGACGCGAAGGGACTGCTGCAAGCCGTTATGGAAGTTTCGGTTGCATTCGGGTGTAAAGCAAAAATCATTAAACTCAATCTCACCACAGTTTGGTGAGATTTGCAGTTGGTTAGTTTTGTTAGATTGATATTCCGAGCTGCGTTATCACAGCTTGCAAAATCAACCGCAGTTGTTTGCTTGTTGATTTTTGTCTACGAAAATCAAGCGTGATCTTGGGCGTTGGAGAGATTTGATTTTTTGATATTTTCCCAACACTGGATGCAATAAGAAGTTATACACAAAAGAAAGTGTTGCATTTTTTTCGAGCACTATATTCATATACATGGAAATTGTTTGCAAATTATACGTATTTTCTTCTACCTGGTATTGATGCTATTTTAAAGGACTTTTACGGTTATTAATGTAGAGCTTTCTATGTCAACACAAATGCATGAATATATTGTATGGCCAGCCCAATAATACCGTATGCCCAGGGAAGTCAAGATAATGTCCATCCTGAAAGATTCCCTTGACCCGTCCGGGAATCTAACCCACCGCCTCTGGCTTGATAATACCAACAATCAATACGAAACTAACGATTTAAACCTTGTTCACTACTTGACTAGCCTATTGGTCCCAAGAAAACGATTAACGTATCCCATTCTAGTCGGAATTCTACTACTACTTAATGTTTGTTTTGAGTCGCTATGAAGGTTTGACAGACAAAATGAGGGGTTATTGGATTTTCCTATGTTTCGAGGGGTAAATCGATTAGCTTGGGACCGAAGAGAGTACCAGAGCTGAGCCAAAAAGTTGAGCACTTTTCTTTGGGACCTTCTGGTCTTAGAGTTATCTCAATGATAATACCGTGTCTACCAAATGATACGTATAAACTCTTTGGTTTTTGTTTTAATATGTTTCGATGCAGTTGACATTATCTCAGTCGTAGTTGAACTTGTAGATCATTTGATATAAACTCCAGAACGATTGGAAGAATCTAGAATATCTGATATACATAGAAAGGGATAAGAAGTGACATTTAAGTGCTAAAATTTATTGAAAAATGTCAAAGACGCCATTCTGAAAAAGAAAAAATACAAAATATGAAATAATTTGCGTCCCTTTTAACCTTATGGTCAGGATTAAGAAACGTTTCAGTTATAACGGCAATATGCACGTTATGAATTCTCAAGAAGTTAAATAGCTCGTCTTCATTATCTTTAATAGATAGAGCATTCCAATTAAAAGTATTTAATGATTTAAAATCCATAACTAAATTTCAAAGTCATGACGATATTGTTCGCAAATTTAACTCTAGTTTGAATAGCATCAAACGTGGAGTTAGATTTAAGCATATCAGTAATCATTTCAATTAATGATTTCTGTAAAAATTCCAGTTTAAAGCAGTAATGCTTTCAAAATTTCCGTTAGAATTACGTTGGTTAGTATTTTGATTTCTACTGATTCTGATTACTATACCTAGCAGCATAGATAGCTCCATTTACTCGCTGAACATTGTTAGCAGCGAGGGGAGTAGGTATAGATGAAAAATTTGAAGCAGGGGTGATATTTGTACCTGCGTAGAATTTGTTCCTCGCTGACCGTTGTTAACTGCAGAGGAATTTGGAGCGTTTCCTACCTGTCGCTTAGAACGAGATTGAAGGATCGCTTTGCGAGTCTTACATTCCCAAAAATTGGATTTGTGGTTTTCACCACAATTTGAACATTTAAATTTCTTAGGATCTTCCTTCACAGGACAGTCGTCCTTTGCGTGAGAGGAATCACCACAATTCATGCATTTAGCTGGCATATAGCAATTTTTAGTTCCGTGACCCCATCCCTGGCACTTAGGGCATTGGGTGAGGTTTTGGAAATTTCCTTCTGTCTTCTTGAAGTGTTCCCACTTCACTCGGACATGGAGCATAAGGCTAGCTTTTTCTAAGGCCTTAAGGTTATTTAGTTCACTAGACTTGAAGTGAACTAAATATAAATCATTAGAAATCCCGTTGCGCGAATCGCCAGGACGGGATTTCATTTTCATTTTGATTACTTGGAGTGGCACAACTCCAAGTAACTTTGCCAGTTCATCTTTGATCTGATCCAAGGATTCACCACTGGGCAGACCTTTCAAGACAACCTTGAACAGACGTTCAGTTTTGGTATTGTAACTGAACAATAAGGAGTATTCATTGGCATGACGAGAGATGAGCGACCCTACATAGTACACGCCTATATGGGCGCCCAAAATAGTATACCGCAAGTAAGTATATCACCAAAACAACTCAAGATCCAGAAATAAAAACCGATGGCGCTGCAGAATAATGAGGTAATTTCTACAATGTACTGTATTTTGTACAATAATACTCATATTACTTTAAACAATCGTCACGTTGGTCATAGCTTGTTATGATTGCCTGAACAATGCGTAAAGAGCAAACCGAAACATGGAACGTCGCGTGATAGTGGAATTTAATCAAGGCCTAAATACTTTTTTGTAGCCTTTTGTTTTTGGATTTGAAAGATCGTCGGTGGCTTGCTTACTGAGCAGAAAAACGCGGTCCCAGGTCCTTTCATATTAAAAATGTATGGTAAGATCGCTTGTTTATCGTGTATTTTGCTAAACCTTTCGTTGTCGTCGGTGCCGGGTTTGAATGGTTAATAACAACTTGAGTAACGGTATGATGTGATATGAGGGGCTCGGTGGCCTTAGAGCAACCGTTTTTGCTTACTGAGCAGAACATCCTGAGTCTAATCTCAAGCCCATCCACATCAAGATTCGTCAATTGTTTTATTTGTTAATTTGACTACATGGTAATAACAGCAACTCGATGACAACGGCGCCGGTGGTGTAGTGGTAAGCGTGATTACCTCTCACCCCAGCAGGCCTGGGTTCAATCCCAGTCGGCACCGCCGGGATGTTCTGAGGCATAACATCTCTGATCACGCCTTCCTTCGGATGGGAAGTAAAGCCGTTGGTCCCAGGTTCATGAGTTGATGGGTCGATAGGTAGGGTCCAGGTGTGGGAGCTGCCTTCCTGGCACGTCGGTAGCATTGGTGCTCAGCACGGAAAACAAGCACGGAAAAAAACAAGCAAAAGGAAAAAAAAGCAACTCGATGATTAAAAACGAGCTCGTTTGCCTAGTAGCAAACGTTTTTGCTTACTGAGCAGAAGACCGTGGGATCAATCCCAAGCTCCTTCGCGTTATACGATCCTTAGGACATCAATTCAGCTTATCGTTTACCAAAACGAACCCTGCTGCAAACCCTACCCTCTTACCCAACATCCCTGTGATTCCTCGTGGAAGTGCAGAGGACTCCTCGGCTTCCATCAAAGCGAGTGTCACGTCAACACATTCCTACCCATTCCTTTCTTGACCTTCGTTCAGGCGCGGCTGGCGCTGGTATTGCCTAATTCGAGATCATCAGTTTTTACACATTGAGGATGATTGCTAGTCCCAAGCATCGTCTATTGGTTCTCTGTGTAATTACAGCTGACCTGGCAATAACAGAGTAGCAACCGTGGGCGTGCTCATATTAAGTTCATTTTGGAAACAGGCAAAAGCCTGAGCTGGAATCGTGCTAGAAAGTATTTTGTACTTTCCACGGATTAATCCGATTATACGCTCAATATGGATTCTTAATTTCGTTATTTGCTTGTCAACTTCCAACTCTTTCATACTAAACTGATTTTTTTTTCTAAGGAAGGTTGGTATATTTAACGAAGCCTTCTTACTTTTGATAATATCATAGATATCAAACCCTTTGTCAGCTAATACTATATCTTCTTCCTCTATTAAATCTATAAACTTGCTCTGTGAGAATACTTCACGGTCAGAATATCTACCAGCAAACCCTACTGATACAAATGCGATTGAACCATCCGGATGGCAAGCTATAAGAAATTTAACTGTTTCATGCTTCTTATAATTACTAAAGTGCATCACTGATGCCTTAACGTCGCTCGGTGTTTGGCATCGCACTTCGAAACAGTCGACAATAAAGACTCTCTTACTGCCAAACATGTTTTGGAATTCGGGTGGTACGTGCCGAGACAAATTTTCCCGTTGAGTGGGCTCAATCACCCATCGACAACATTGAAAGATGACGTACAATGTGCTGTGAAAATACTTCGATATAGTATTGGCACAGACACCATAATCATGGGCCAATGCTGTTGAGTCTTAACTTTGTCAAGGTCATGATCAGTATTTGATCCTGGCTGAACCTGCAGTATGGTTCATCGAGTGATGGTTTCAGAAACTCGTAGAGTTTAGTGAATACGGATAGTTTTTCAATCCAGGTATAGTAATTACACTTGGCATCATCTACTAAAAACTCTATTCCCCTATTGGCCAGGGATAATTGGGTATCCAATTTATAACAATGCTCCTGTAGACGCATCATTTCCTTGTAGTACTGATTAAATGTTTCCGATGAAAAGCACCTTTCTGAAAAAATAAAGCCAACGAGGTGAGCTTAAAATTGCGATGATTATTTAACTGTTTCTGAATAACTACCTCCAACTTGCACGCCAATTTCAGTGCGAAATACGGATGCATTCAGTGTCGATTTTTCATCATTTGATACAAGGTCGGATTTTAGTACATCATCAGCTTCAATGTCTCTAAACACAAAATCCAGGTGCCTCCGGTGACGAAATAGCATTTCTGTTTTCTTCGGATATTTGTGATTCGCTGTTCGTATTCGTATCTGTATCCTGGGACAAACGGCAATTGTCCATAACGGCAGAAAGTGACGAAAATGTAGCGTCGGTATCAGTAGACACGACAGGTGTCGAAGATGAGGAACTCAACGCGAAAGTAAGCGACTCACCGTTGTTTTGTGTCGACATGGAAGACATTGTTTCGTCGATGTTGTTCAACGATCCAGCCTGCACCGATCTACAAGATCTCATTTTTGTACGGGATAAACGGGAATTTTAACTATTATTGAACTGTAACGAAGATACTATCACTAGACACGAACCGTTTCGAAGCTGAGGAACTCGACCACAAACTAAGCGAATCAAAGTCGCTGCCACTGTACGATCCAGGTAGTTCTAATGAAGGTACCCAGTCCATATTCTGGATATCTGTTGGTCTTGCAGGCTTTCCTAGAAGTAAATGGGGATCAAGGACACTTATTTGAACATATTAGATGCACTTACCCCAATGGAAGTGTGAGCTGCAAACGTATTTGCTCCTCCATCGAAATGATTCGCTTAATTTAAGTGCGTTTATCCATCGGTCTGAATTTAAACGATCAATGTGTACGTTGTTGACAACAGGAGGGAAACAATAAAAACTTAGCTGTCCCGTTGATTTTTTAGTGGAACATCGTCGAACAACACATTTTTTAGTCATTTTAGTTTAAAAACTTGAATCTGCTTGAATCGCGATTAATCGAATAACAGGCAAAATAAACAAACCACTACTGGATGTCAAACTGATGAACGCGGGTTCATCGCATTCATTCGTTACGTCAGCGTGCAGTATTCTATAAACGTGCTGACTGAGCTACTGACTGAGTGCTCGGCTGTCAGTGACTCGTTTACCTCTCAATCATTCAGACTCGCACGAGGTAGAGTCGGTGTATAATGAGTCACGCCAAGAGTGAAGCCAAGTCTACCTATTGAACTGTCAAACCGGCTATCTATCGTGCAAAGTAAACAAACATTACGATGCTATGAAAGGTCCACGAAAGGTATTGCAATAAAATATAAAATACAATTGAAGAAATGATCATAAACACGCAGTGAGCATTAAATTGTCATGGGATACGTTTGGTAATGATCAGTAATGAGAATTTCTACTATTTGTTGATAAGATAATTTGACAAAATCACTGATATAATAATTTACTACAGCCGCTATTTTTTTTTCTCGCTAGAAGTCATTTGAAGTTGATGTAGAAGTCCTCTGTTGCCAAGTGAAAGGAAAGGGAATGTTTCGAAAACCGTGATGCGAGTTCAACTGTTTTTCTCTTGGCGTGACTCATTATACACCGACTCTAGCACGAGGCAGTGAATGATGAGGCATATGGACGAGTGCACCGATGAATTTGAGTTCACTCACTCGAGAAAAAGTGACACAAGCTCATTATGCATTATTCATGAACATTTAGTGTTCATGATTAGTAAACATTGCCCGCAGCTTGTGTCACTTTTTCTCGAGTGAGTGAACTCAAATCTATCGGTGCACTCGTCCATGTTAGTTCATATTCATACGAAAATAACTCAATGAACCTGACTGTTTTGCGCACTGATCAGCAGCAGCAGCAGCAGTAATGGGACGGAGCGGCCGAAGCAGCAGATTAACGGCTAGCTATTTGTTGAGACATACGATACGACTGAGGCTGGAAATCTCGGTCAGGTCACGACACATGGCAGCACCAACAACTTCATACTCGAGTCTTGTCACTATTAACAAGACATTAAAAATAACTCACACTTAAGCTTCATATTGATATTAGCATTAACACCAACTCTGAAAATCGTGTAACAAGCAACAAAAAAATCTTTGAATCATTCATATGTTTGAAAAATATGTTTATGATCAACTAGGGGAAACGCTCCTATAGTTGCGGTACGTTAGAAGCGTTTGATTCCCATAGTTGTGCATGGAGATTCAATACACAACTATAGGAACCTAACTTTTCTAACGTACCGCAACTATAGGAGCGTTAACCCTATAAATGCGGGAAGCATTATCAATGATCTTAAGACAAATTGCTCAAACATGCCTTTGGATCAGCGGCCACTGGGGGTTAGTGTTAAGCGTGATTGCCTCTCACCACAAAAGGCCTGAGTTCAATCCCAGTTGGCGGCGCCGGGATTTTCTGAGGCAAATCTCCCTTCCTTCGCAAGGGAAGTAAAGCCGTTAGTCCCCGGTCCATGAGTAATGGGTCGATAGGTTGGATCCAGGTGTGAAAGGAGCTGCCTCCCTGGCGTCGGTAGCTTTGGTACTCAGTACGGAAAACAAGATCGACGGGAAACACAGAAATACCTTTTGAATAAAAAAAAAACGAATTTGTTTTCGTCAGTTTGTTCGATAATTTTCACCCAGTGATCAATATACCCCCGGTTTACGGTAGTGTATTTTGAAAACTTGTTTTGCGAGTATCGGAAGCAAAAGCAGCCAACTACCACAGAAAATACGTTGCCGATTACAACAGTGCACGGCGAATGAGAACGACCCAAATTTGAGTTTAGTTCACTCATATTCGCCAAAAGTGCAGGAACTCAGCGATGAGTAAATTTGTCTCATGGTTTCCTGTGGAAAACCTAAAAAATCTGCCGGAAAATGAGGAAATTGACGAAAATTTTTTATTGAGTCTCGGAGTAGTACCAACAGAATGAGTGAATTCAACCTTTACTTTTCTCAAATTCGGGATTTTTTCCCTGGAAAATCCTGGAAAAACCTGGGAAAACATGAGGCAAATTTTCTCATCGCTGAGTTCATGCACTTTTGGCGATTATGAGTGAATTAGACTCAAATTTGCGTCGTTCTCATTCGCCGTGTGGGCATGAACCCCAAAGTTTACTGTCCTCTATACTTTACGGAATATTTGAACGTTCACTTTTTTAGTTTTCAAATAATTTAGAGTAGTCTGTACCTGTATCCAAAGTATTCGAAGCAATTAATTAGCACAAATAGTGTACTGATAAGATAAAGAATGTGCTTCTGAAAAGCTTGCTTGGAAACTACAACCAGAAAATATCTCCAGATAATTTCAACGCAAACCTCAAGATTCCTCAATTCTCCTATCCCCGACCAAAACATAATGATTGACGATGACTGAAAACTATAGTGAATTTTCAACATAATTGATTCAATCAAATCCTGCGGCTGTTGCCTTGGCACCGCTTGTCAACAAGTACCTCCTCCGGCTCAATGGATAACTTCAAGGAACACCGTTTCCCGACGGCTCTCCATCGTTTGCCTCCAGGTGAATGGAAATGAGATGACAGCAATCCTTCGTTCATAATTGATCTACTTCGTTGTGTCTCCGAAGGGCACTTTCCGTTGTAGGCAACAATAGGTGATGTCGAAGATTGCTTGATTGCACGAGATAATGCGATTGACTTGAATGCATAATTCATAAAGCTGATTATTGTGATTTCAAATCAAGCTCTCAATTCACGTCGTTTGGTTGTTTCGAAACGATTGCAAATCCTTTAACGAAATCAAATATTGTCGCTTTGAACCCTAGCACACGAGCTCACGCGAGACCCATCGATGAATGTGCAACTTCCGTCAACTGTTTTTCCTGTCGCCGGCTAACATCATTAGCATCCATCCATCTATTCTCGACCAACGTTTGTCCACGACGACACAAAAATCCTGGTCAATCCACTGGAAACCGCTTCCAGGAGTGCTTTCCAAAAGCAACCATAAATCTGTTATGCATGTTTTGTCGTGCCGTCACGGTCGGATGTGTCCTTTTGCCTCGAAATATACCCACTTAGCACTGCCAGCTATAGGTGCACTTCAACCAGCACCACCGCCGTTGATAACCGGTCACCAATCACACCGTGTCAAATGGAGTGGAAAGAAAGCTCGGAGCAAAGAAAAATGCCCCGATCGAGGAACATTCACACGCGACCGGAAAAGAGCAGCCATTTCCCTTAAATGAAATTACAACCAACGAAAGGAAATATAACATTTCTATTATTTTCTCGTTGGTCGTTTTTGCTACGCGATCGACTTCCATCCACCTTTTGCCAACTTTTCACCTCGGCTTCAAACACCCCCGGTTTGAGTATCATATTTATAGCTCTATTCCAGGTTTTGAACCACCTTGCTGTTGTTTACCATCCAGAGCTGTAGGCGAAGCGAGTGAAAAACCGTTTTATTTGCATCTTATAATGCCATAAATATGCATATCCTTGTCCACTTCAGTTTGTGTGTGTGGGTAGTGAAAAACTTCGATTCTTTCCCTTAGCATTGGAAGAATCGCAAATCGGACGTCAGGTCAGCAGGAGTGAAGGAAAACTTAAGTATACGTTGCAAAACATTATACAATCACCGGAACAACCACCACACCGCAGAAGCGAAAATGGCCTCTTCACTGTTTTGTTGACTGGGACGCTTCATAGGAGTCGCCCTCGGATGTTGAATGTATACGCGCGAGAGAGGGAATCAAGGTTGTCCCGTAAAGTGCTGAAACATGATGGGCTATAATTTCTGGCAATTTATGACCGATGCGGATTAAGGCTTCCTACGTTGGCTTCCCGAGTAAGGTCGTTTTGAGGATGGCTTAAATGGTGGATTTGAAATGGGAGAAGAACACGATGTGCGAGTTTATCAATGACTAGAAATCGATAATTTGAAGCATTTCGTAAGGAAGTAAAAATTGTCTATCAATAAATCATAACTAAAAAAAATTGTGAGAAATAATAAAAGAGACATTTCAATTAAAATTAATAGTAATCAATTTGAAAACAAAAATCGGTATTAATGTTCGGCGACTGTGTTAGGGAAATCTCTTTTTGGCAGGAAATAGGTGATAATTTTGATCTCGATTGCAACAGTTCGACATTTGTGTAATTATCAATAAAGACCTATTGAAAATTTATATAGCGTTCATTTTAGCAGATTTGTGGAAAAAATTGAAATCGATTGGCTTGTTTAGAATTAAAATCCATCCGCTATTCACAGAGTTATAAGTGGTCAAAATCTGACCACTTTTCGTAACGCGGTTGATTTTGGTTTTTTGAAATTTTACCCCCAATATGACGTAATTCTTCGTCAAAATAAAAATACGAACCAAGACATTTTTGTTATTTTGTTTTTAACACGTTTTAGGTTTTTTTCCGCAAATTAAAAAAAAAATTACCGTGATCCGTTTCTAGAAACCTTATTTTTCCAAACAACTTTGTCTCCGATGTCATTTCGATTAGAAGTGATAATCAGCACTAAAATTTGAAAATCATAAAATCAGATTTTTTTTTCTTCTTTATTTAGGAGATTTTTAGCCGTAGACTTGTTCATCTCCGTAGAAAATCAAATAATCTAAACATCAAAAAATTAGAAAACTAAAAAATCAGAAAATCTGAAAATCAGAACTTAAGAAAATCAGAACATTAGAAAATCAGAAAATCAGAAAATTAGAAAATCGGAAATTCAGAATCAGTAAATCAGTAAACTAGAAATTTAGAAAATCAGGACAGTATAAAATCAGAAAAATAGAAGTTCAGAAAAACAGAAA